CGCGGGCTCAGGCAATCCACTCACCTCAGCCTCCCAAAGGCGCGGGATTACAGGCTGAGCCACCGAGCCCGGCTCAGAATTTCGTTTTAAGCAGACAGTTGATTTCCTGACACGTGGTGGCCAGCCTGGCAATCCACCTGCTTGACTTAGCTTTGGAGGGAGGTTTCCTATATGAAGGAGGAAAAGCTGCCTGACCTGAAAAAATCGTGAAACAGTCAACAGCCTTTTGTGAGGTCCTGAGCGAGACCAGGTTAGACTTTGTAGAACAAGTGCTGTGAATTAAGGATGGTCATAATGAAATTTGCCCCACGTGGTTGAATTAACTTTGGCAACTGCAGCCTATGAAGCCCTTAAAAAGAATGAAGTCAACCTCTATATGCTGATATGGAAATATTGCCAAGATTTATGAAGTACAGAATGCTGTATAAATATACTTCCACTCATAAAAAAAGATAAGTTGTAGATATAAACTCGCTAGCAAGATCTGCCAGAAAATGTTTGTAGCATTACTGCATTGAGGCGTGGTCTGGGAATTTGGGGTAGGCTGGTGACTCTGCATTGTGCTTTTTGGTACTGATTAGTTTTATTATTATGTGCATTTTTTTTTTTTTTTGAGTTGGAGTCTCACTCTCGCCCAGACTGGAGTGCAGTGGCCGCTCCCGGCCACCACAGCCTCGACCTGCTGGGCTCCAGCGATCCTTCTGTCTCAGCCTTCCAAGTAGCCGGAACTACAGGCTTGCGCTACCACGTCCGGCTGATTTTTTGATTTATTGTAGAGATGAGGTCTCGCTGCCCAGGCGGGTCTCGAACCCACGAGCTCAGGCAATCCACTCACCTCAGCCTCCCAAAGGCACGGGATTACAGGCTGAGCCACTGAGCCCGGCTACTATGTGCATTTTTAATGTTGATAAGAATTTTAAAAGGAAAGGGAAAATCCACCCGGAAATGGGTATGCAGGAATGGCTCCTGTAACGGCTGTAAAGGTAGGGAGTACTGTTTAACCACATCCCCACTCCTTTGCCAAACTAGGTTGGAAGCCTAGGAAGATCCAGGTTTTACTAGGCCTCAAAGGTTTACAATTTTTAGAATCTCTCTCTCTTTTTTTTTTTTGAGTTGTAGTATCACTCTTGCCCAGGCTGGAGTGCAGTGGCACCATCACAGCTTACTGCAGCCTCCACCTCCTGGGCTCAGGTGATCCTTCTGCCCCAGCCTCCCGAGTAGCTTGGGACCACAGGCACATGCCACCACACCTGGCTAATTTTGTTTTTATTTTTATAGAGATGAGGTCTGGCTTTGTTGCCCAAGCTGGGCTCAAGCAGTCCTCTTGCCTGGACCTCCCAGAGTGCTGGGATTACAGGTGTGAGCCACTAACCTGGCCTGGAGACTCTTTTTAAGAAATAAAATATGAGCTGGCTCGGTGGCTCAGCCTGTAATCCCGCGCCTTGGGAGGCTGAGGTGAGTGGATTGCCTGAGCCGGCGGGTTTGAGACCCACCTGGGCAACTTGGTGAGATCTCATCTCTACAATAAATCAAAAATCAGCCGGACGTGGTAGCACACGCCTGTAGTTCCGGCTACTTGGAAGGCTGAGGCGGAAGGATCACCGGAGCCCAGCAGGCGAGGCTGCAATGGCCAGGAGCGGCCACTGCACTCCAGTCTGGGCGACAGAGTGAGACTCCAACTCAAAAAAAAGAAATAAAATATGGTTGGGCTCAGTGACTCAGCCTGTAATCCCAGCACTTTGGGAGGCCGAGGCAAGTAGATTCCCTGAGCCCGTGAGTTTGTGACCAGCCCAGACAATTTAGCGAGACCTCATCTCTACAATAAATAGAAAAATTAGCCTGGCGTGGTGGCACGTGCCTGTAGTTCCAGCTACTTGGAAGGCTGAGGCGGAAGGATTGCTAGAGACCAGCAAGTTGATGCTGGGGTGGCCGTGAGCGTGCCACTGCACTCCAACCTGAGTGACAGACTGAGACTCCAACTCAAAAAAAAAAAAGAAAGAAACAATTATGCATATACAGTGCTGTGGCCACACTGAGGTCTCCTGACAGGAGAGGAAATGCCATGAAGAGGAAGTCACAGTGGAGAGAGATAGCAGGCTTAACCAATTCCAGCTAAAAGGTCCAACATTTGCAAGTTTTATAAAAACATGACCCTGTGAACACACTTCTAGGACAGCTCCCATGCCTTGGCAGAGACTGGCTCTTTCCAGAATCCATGCTGAGGGGCTCAATGATAGTTTATTGATGACCCAACTCAGCAAAAAGACGCTCCTCTGGGACAGAGTCCCAGGACTCAGACCTCTCCTCCTGCTCGTGCCTCTCTTTGCCTGTTTCCACTAGTGATCTTGAAACTGCTTGTGGTGGCTCACACCCATAATCCCAGCACTTTGGGTGGCCAAGGTGAGAGGATTGCCTGAGCTCACGGGTTCAAGACCAGCCCAGGCAACTTGGCAAGACCTCACCTCTACAATATATCAAAAAATTAGCTGGGCATGGTGGCGCATGCCTGTAGTTGCGGCTACTTGGAAGGCTAAGGCAGAAGGATCACCTGAATTCAGTAGGGCAAGGTTGTGGTGGCCATGAGCATGCCTCTGCACTCTAGCCTGGGCAACAGAGTGAGACTCCACCTCAAAAAAAAAAATGCTTATATACAGTTAATATCATGCCATGCGGTAAAAGCTGTAGAAGGGACCTGAGCCATGAAAAGCTGCAACTATGATTAGAATTTAACAAATCTGTTTTGTTTTTTTTTTTGAGTCATAATCTCACTCTGTTACCGAGGCTGGAATGCCGTGACACGCTCATGGCCACCACAGCCTCGACCTGTTGGGTTTAGGCGATCCTTTCACCTCAGCCTCCCAAGTAGGTAGAACTACAGGCAAGTGCCACTTTGCCTGGCTAATTGTTTTTGATTTACTGTAGAGATGAGGTCTCGCCAAGTTGGCCAAGCTGGTCTTGAACCCTTGGGCTCAGGCAGTCCTCTTGCCTCTGCCTCCCAAAGTACTGGGATTACAGGCATGAACCATGACACCCAGTTAATAGATTTTTTTTTACTCGTAGAGATGAGGTCTCACCAAGTTGCCCAGGCTGGTCTCAAACCCCTGTGCTCAGGCAATCCTCTCGCCTCAGCCTCCCAAAGTGCTGGGATTACAGGCTTGAGCCCCTGTGCCCAGCCAATAGATTATTTTTTAAACAATGGGCCTGAGAATGCCCAAGGACAAAAGCTGCTTCGATCCCTGGGCACCTCACTTCCCCCATACCTTCCTTCTAAACTACAGTACCTCCATGATGTCTCAGTCCAGGGGATAGAAGCTGGGGATCCAGGGAATTGTTTTATAGATAACATCTATTGAAAAACCTCAGGACCCACCTGGGCAATTTGGCGAGACCTCATCTCTACAATAAATCAAAAGTGAGCCGGGCGTGGTAGCATGCGCCTGTAGTTCCAGCTACTTGGAAGGCTGAGGTGGAAGGATCGCCGGAGCCCAGCAGGTCGAGGCTGCGGTGGCCGGGAGAGGCCACTGCATTCCAGTCCGGGTGGCAGAGTGAGACTCTAACTCAAATTTAAAAAAAAAAAAAGAAAAGAAAAAAAGAAAAACCCTCAGAATGGTATCTGAGATATCTTTCAGACTCTGATGTAGCCGAGGCCCTACCTAGGCCTAGAATACCACCAAGCTGGTTCTACTGGTCTGTGAAGCTCTCTCCCAGAAATTGTCTCTATGACAGGAAGACAGTCTCCACACCCTATGATATCATCAACCAATCTGCAGCCCTATCCTCCTGCCCAAGAAGTTCCCTTTAAAAACACTGTCCCAGGCCGGACTCGGTGGCTCAGCCTGTAATCCCAGCACTTTGGGAGGCCGAGGTGAG